TTTTTTTTTTATCTATCCAGAGGACCTGACTTAACTTTTTTATATTTACCGGTACTAAGAGTATATTTTTATTTTCAGAGAAAGCACAACACTCATCTCCAGCGATACCTTGCACTGACTGCAACAACCATCAAAAGGAAAGGACAAGAGTCCAGTGAAGGTGCTTCAACCAGCAAGCAGCGAAAACTGGGGGAAACCACTAAAGTTTCTCAAAAGAGCATTGACCATGCAGTGATAAACTTCATTGTCCAGGGTTTGCACCCTTTTGGAACAGTCAGGATTTCAAAGTCTGGTGCAGCAGCTTCAGCCGAATTCCACTGTGATGTCTCGTTCAACAGTTCGAACCATGATTGAACAAGCTACTGCTGAAATGAAGGCAAATATAAGGAAAGCAATGCAAACTATCAAATACATAGCAACAACAACAGATTCCTGGACTGCACATCGGCAGAGCTTTATTGGAGTGACTGCTCACTGGATAGATCCTGACAGTCTTGAGAGATCTTCAGTAGCTCTTGCTTGCAGGCGGCTTAAAGGTTCCCACACATTTGATGCATTAGCTGGTGTCCTCAACGATATACATACAGAGTACAACATCCGGGAGAAAACTGTAAGAACCACCACTGACAATGGCTCCAATTTCATCAAGGCCTTTAGGGTTTATGGCCCTGACGAAAACAACAATATGGACACATATAGAGCAGGAAGTTCAGCTGAAGGGCAAAAAGTAGTGGAAGTGAATGATGATGACGAAGATGAAGATCTGGGAGTAGATATAGAGGCTGTTGAGGTTGCCTCCCTCATGGATGAAGAAGATGATTGTTCAGAATATCAGCTGCCAAAGCATCATCACTGTGCTTGCCATGTTCTTAACCTGATCTCAACAGTGGATGCCACAAAAGCAAACTCAAATGAGACCTACAAAAAGGTTTCTCATGCAGCGTTTGCCAAGTGCTGGGCACTATGGAACAAGAGTGCTCAATCCACGATAGCTGCTGAAGTAATTGGAAGAGTGTGTAAACTCCAGCTCATCCGCCCTAACGACACCAGGTGGAACTCCTTGTTTCTGGCAGTGGAACGTATACTAAGGATCATCAAGGACAGTGGAGAAGGGGCCATCAGAGCAGTTTCCATTGCACTTAAAGTCCCCATGTAAGTGGCACATAGTCATACATTTTTATTCTTTTTTCAGTGATCCAGATGTGACTATTATTGATACTAATGCTGTAGAAAGTCCATGAAAAATTTAACCTACACAAACTCTTCTATTATAAAATCAAACTACGGAAATACTCTGGCCACAATATAACCCTTAATTTCTATGTTTGTGCAAATGGTTGATTGTGATCAGGCTCATTTGCTGGTGAATTGTAAATAACATGTTGATAGTGGTATATTAATTTATGAAATAGTTCATACTAACATACATTACATGGATAAATTATATAATATGATTGTTTGTTTGTGTACCAAGTTAAATCCTGCCAAGTGTGCGTTCCTGACTGAATATGTTGCGACAATGAGCCCAGTTGCCGAGGCCCTCAACATAATGCAAGCACAAGCAAATCTCCATATGGGATGGCTGGTGCCCACCATAACCCTCCTGACTGTGAAGCCATGCACAGACACATTTTGTGTAACTATGCGTTCTGAATGCATGAACGCCCCGGAAAACTTCAAAGGGGAGGGAAAAAAGCTGAAAAGAGCCATGAACCAACCGGTTTACGGCTGAACCGTATAAACAGATTAATAATAACAGGAGAGCTGATTATTAATCAAATGAACTGATTGGTAAGAATAGTCGTGAACTGATTAGTGACAATAGAACCAGAATAACAATCACACTTTGTGACTGATAACATCTCACACTGTAATGCATGCAGACAGATGTGAGTAAAACGGAGTTCCATGAAACAACAATATTCATTCTGTAAAACACTAAGGACAGAATGTGTCATGGAACGAGCCGTCACATCACATAGATCAAAGTGAATAAAAGAGCAGGGTGTTGACCACGTGGCCGCAGTGCAAAATGTCCTGCATTGACATACCATTATGCAGAGCAGTCGAAGATGCGATACCCCTGATCGAGTGTGCTCTGAGGTTGACAGGAGGCTCTAAATCTGATGCTCTGTAGGCTTCAGAAAAGGCCTCACACAGCCAGTGTGACAAGCGCTGGGTGGATAACGGGCGACCTGCAGATGCATCTCTATAATGCACAAACAAATGTTGATGCACTGCAGCTGTGCACGCTATGTAACACGTCAACGCCTGCACCGGACAGAGGAGATGAAAAGACATTACTTCTTCTGATCTGTGTGTGTGTGTGGGGGGGGGGAACCCTCCAACGATATCGCTCTTGATTTAAAAGAGCTCGTGATGTTTTAGGCATAAAAGCTGGGTTTGGTCTTAAATCAGCTGAGCTGCCGTCA